TGATATTATTTCTCTATGCATGTAGATCTGACGACACCTCTATTGAAAATTGCATCAGATGAAGTTATTTTGTAATCAGCCAATCAGCATTTAGAAGCTAAATGGGGGTGAAGCATACAAATTATGTTGACATATAAAAAAAGTAACTAAATCATATTTTCAACAATAATAACAATTAATTGATCAACAAAACTAATGCAAAATGTTTCCCAAATTAATCCATTCATATCATATTTTTCATTGTATTCTCTTTTAAAAAAAATATATCTGTATTTGACATCGCATATGGATAAGAAATGATTGAACTATGTCTACAATAATTGCCGTTTTCGCACACAAAACTGCAAAAACTGCAAAAAAATTATTCCCATCATTATAAAGTTCTCCGCTCCTCAGTAAGTGCCCCTTGGCCAATAGTAGGGCTTATGATTGAGATTCATCGTTTGAACCAAGGTTGTTCTCTAACACTCAACCTACGACAATAAATTTAACTTGTGTAAGGTTAAAAAAAATGCCCCACTTTGTCAAGTTTTCTAAGCTACCGGGGGCTAACAGTGAATATTGTATCAAAAGATCTGTCCAGTGTGTCACAATGCGTATTTCAATGACACCATGGCTCAATGATGTTGCTACAGAAATGGAATGTAGATGTTAAATAGATGTGTTAAACACAAGTTCATCACAGAAAAAACAAACCAAAACAGCTTATGTAACCGTTTAGGCCATGAAAAGCTGAAAACATGTTTTTCATTTTAAAATATGTGAAAATGTTTTACACAGCAATAAATATTTTTAGGTATTCTGGTTTCTGTTTTAGTTCTATGGATAAAAAACTGTCAGGATTTACAAAAGAGTATTTTTCCTTGCCTCAACTATACACCGGCATGGGTTGTAATGAGATTTAGTTGTCTGCCTCTAAGTAATCAAAAATTGACTTGGTCATTTTGAAAATCCATTTCTATTTGAAACATTATTTTTGATGACAAACGTTGGTGGACATCGCAAACAATATCTCCTACTTTGACTATATCAAACCTAAATATATCACTGGGATTTATTAAAAATCAGCTTCTGTTAGAAACAACAACTTTGCTATGACCTCAGCAGGTGGGCGTCACTCACTCCATCACAAAACACATCACCTACTTTACTATCTAACCCAATATGCACTGTCATGTGTACATGAAAGCTACATTTCCTATTAGGTTACACAGGGAGATGTTGAATCACTAACCCGCCATGCTTACTGATCATCACCAGATGTTAGAGATATGTCTTCAGTTGTCTCCATCCTGATAAGTAGCCTTTTCCTGGATTATCTTACATTTACATTAACTGTCAGCCCAAAATAAACCTTTGATTAAATATTGATACGCATCCAATTCTGGAATTTTAGAAGCATAATTCATATGAAAGGTCACCTGTATTGATTTTGACTGTGTTTTCCTATTTCTGTCAGAGATGGACACTGAACCCTTCCATCCATACATACTGCAGGCACAAGTTGCTTGTAGAGTGTAAGAAGCAACAGAGGCCATATGTTCATATATGGTCTCTGGACGGAGTGTCTATTCTAGGCAGATGAGTTTGTTTAATGCCATTTAGTCAGATCCTCAGTATATTAATAAGTGTTAAATCTAATGTTGTCTCACATCGAGAGCCTGGAATATCACTGATAAAATCTCCATTACCTCAACCCATCAATTCCATTCAAGAGAAACAGAAATAGAAACAGAAGCTTAATGTCCTGGACGCTGTAAATGTACAAAACAACCTCAATCTAATCCTATGTTAAAGTATGGGAGCTACGATCATCATTGTGCTAAGATTGCTTTGTATAATGGCACCCAGAAATGCACTCTGATATTGTAGCTGTTGATCTAATTTTTGCTCGGATTGATCAGGTTATAAGTTTCTAGTTTTTCAAAATTTCTGTATCAGTGAAGTAAGTTTGATAAGGCATCATGCTGTGTTCATAGAAGTTAAAAGGTTACGAAAGTACTTTCAGGTCCACCACTGACAAACACAAAGTTTTTAGCGAAGAGGAGGTCACTTTTAGAAGGATGACAGAGTGAAAAATAAGCATTTGTCATGGAACATAAAGTCAGTGTGTCTAAGACTTGCTGCTTGGCCTACCTCACTCTTCAGGATAAGTGTAAGCCAACCATAACATGTCCATAAGTGTTAGCCAACCATAACACATCCATAAGTGTTAGCCAACCATAACATGTCCATAAGTGTTAGCCAATCATAACAGGTTCATAAGTTTTAGCCAATCATAACACGTCCATAAGTGTCAGCAATCATAACATGTCTATAAGTGTTAGCCAACCATAGCATGTTCATAAGTGTTAGCCAACCATAGCATGTCCATAAGTATTAGCCAATCAAAACAAGTCCTTAAGTGTTAGCCAATCATAACATGTCCATAAGTGTTAGCCAATCATAACATGTCTATAAGTGTTAGCCAACCATAACACGTTCATAAATATTAGCCAATTATAACAAGTCCGTAAGTGTTAGCCAATCATTACATGCTCATAAGTTTTAGCCAACCACAACACGTCCATAAGTATTAGCCAATCATAACACATCCATAAGTGTCAGCAATCATAACAAGTCCTTAAGTGTTAGCCAATCATAACATGTCCATAAGTGTTAGCCAATCATAACATCTCTATAAGTGTTAGCCAATCATAACATGTCCATAGGTGTTAGCAATCATAACATGTCCATAAGTGTTAGCCAATCATAACATGTCCATAAGTGTTAGCAATCATAACATGTCCATAAGTGTCAGCAATCATAACATGTCCATAAGTGTTAGCCAATCATAACATGTCCATAAGTGTTAGCCAATCATAACATGTCCATAGGTGTTAGCAATCATAACATGTCCATAAGTGTTAGCCAATCATAACATGTCCATAAGTGTTAGCCAATCATAACATGTTCATAATTGTCAGCAATCATAACATGTCCATAAGCGTTAGCAATCATAACATGTCCATAAGTGTTAACAATCATAACATGTCCATAAGTGTTAGCAATCATAACATGTCCATAAGTATTAGCAATCATGAAATGTCCATAATTGTTAGCAATCATAACACGTCCATATGTGTTATCCAATCGTAACACGTCCATAAGTATTAGCCAATCATATCATGTCCATAAGTGTTAGCCAACCATAACACATCCATAAGTGTAAGCCAATCATAACACGTCCATAAGTGTTAGCTAATCATAATATGTCCAAAAGTGTTAGCTAAACACCACAACATCTGTTAGTCAATGGGGACAATCAAAAAGCCTGTTTTATCAGCACCTATCTATTTCAAAGCTGTGCAACAAACTTCCACAGCAAGGCCTCATTCGTATCCTGCTTATCTGGGAGGTCAAGAAGATGTCAGCTAATAGGATGGAACGTGATTTGTATCATGTCATTTGCCAGCTGACACTCTCTGATGTAAACATCCAGTGAAAGTGGATCCCGTTGACAAATGTATACCATGGTTACAACATGAGCTGGTTATGGATTGGAGTGTTTGCCTGTTGTTTAACGCCGCACTCAGCAATATTCCACCTATATGATGGCAGTCTGTAAATAATCAAGTCTGGACCAGACAATCCAGTGATTGATATCATTAGCATTGATCTACGCAATAGGGATATGATGACATGCATCAACCAAGTCAGCGAGCCTGAACACCAGATCCCATTAGTCGCCCATTACGACAATTATAGTCACCTCTTACGACAAGCATGGGTTGCTGAAGACCTATTCTGACATGGATCTTGATGGTCTGTATTGGAGTGAGTGTGAGGGAGTTTGGTTTCATGCCAATTCATGAAATTTATTCCAGTGATATCCCGTCGAGTCAGCTTCATGTGGGAGGAAAACCGGTGAGGCAGGTCTCAGACGTTTACTACTTTGGTGAAACCCACAAGCATGGGTGTGGTGCTGACAGACCTAGAAACATAATCAGGGTGAACCTGGATTCCAACCAAGGATCATAGGTATCTGGCATACCAAAGGGATGCAACTCTGCACAGGTAAGTGCGGGGCTTGTAACCCATGCTATCTTTTTGTGATGGAATAAAAGCAACAAAACCCTTTCCATAATCAAAAGAAATCTCTGCCAAAACCAGAGTTGACTGTACAACTGACCACGCCACAAGCATGTGTCCATGAACCACCATCAACTAGTGATGACACCAGGTGTTCCTGAAAAGGTCTTTAAGAAAGAAAAGGGTCTTTTGAACAACAGTAAAAAAACTGCTTGCGAGACATAATGGATGTACTGAATAATGAGTTGTGATTAAAATATAAATGTTCCTCATTTCAGAGAAAAATAAATGGTATGTCTTTAAGGAGTAATCAGAAAATATTCTGTCTCAAATAGTGAGTGCATTTGGTTTTATGCTGCTTTATGAAACCAGAAGTTTACACATTGTACCTGTGTAGGGGAAACGAAATTGGGATGTTTTTGCAGAGTCTTAAGAAGCTTATGAATTGAGAGCCTGTTGCCATATCCATCTTCAATGTTTTTCACAAAGTATATTTATTATTATTCTTGTAATACCATCTCGACAAACTGTGAAGATGACTTGGGACAGTCCATACAAACTGCTTGGGCTCATTTATGAGTGAACATCCTGTCACACCATCTTCAGAGTTTTTCACATAGATTATTACTTATTCTAGGATGGCGTGACACTGTCTCAACAAACTGTGAAAATGATTTTGCATGATCTAAACACACTGCTATTCTATGCTTCCATGACAACTGAACCAAATTGTTCACACAATGCACACAAGAAAAATCAACCAAATATTAACTACAACAAAGACGCCATGCAATTAACAATTTTTTTAACCATTTTAATAATGATCCCATGAAGATATTGTAATGTAATGATACCCAGTGACATATACACACCTGGCCCAAGTCTGTCCTTAACCCACACGACTACAACCACTTGTACAATGAACTCACCTAGAGGCAAGGCACTTAGAGGTGTCAGTACTCCCTCCATTAACTGTTTGTTTCTCTGAAACACAAACACAAGATAGTGCAGACAAAATGACAGGCAGGTAGGAATCCTACTGATGGTGCTTGCAGGGGAGTAACATTCACACTGGCACCGTCAGGGATAGAGGTGTTTTCGCTCATCAAACCAGAACCTTGAAATATTAATCCTTCAAACAAGCAAATATTCAGTTCATCCTAGGGCAGCAAATTTCTGTGGTTACTGACCTTATCATCTGGCCCAAATAACCAAATGACTTCTTGTAATTGATTTGTACATGTTCCCCCTGGGGCAAGTTAGTGAACAGTGAGTGTATCAGTGTCCTGGACATCTACAGATCGGCTGTCATACATTCAACATGGAGGCAGAAACGCCTGCCAAGTACATGGTTGCTAGCTCAATCATCAGATGGTAAACATGTACTTCAAGGTTAAAAGTTTAAATCAAATTCACAAAAAATATACAGTAAGATTGACAGAGGCCTCCAGTATACTGTATTTAATGTAAAGCAAGAAACTGTGAAAAGGAACAAAATTGTGAACAAATGTTATTTAATGATCATCATGAAAGCATATGTATTGAGGAAGGAGCACATGTATTGAGGAAGAAGCACATGTATTGAGGAAGGAGCACATGTACAGTGGAAGAAGCACAAGTACAGTGGAAGGAGCACATGTATTGAGGAAGGAGCACATGTACAGTGGAAGAAGCACATGTACAGTGGAAGGAGCACATGTACAGTGGAAGGAGCATATGTACAGTAGAAGAGTACAGTGGAAGGAGCACATGTACAGTGGAAGGAGCACATGTACAGTAGAAGAGTACAGTGGAAGGAGCACATGTACAGTGGAAGGAGCACATGTATTGAGGAAGGAGCACATGTACAGTGGAAGAAGCACATGTACAGTGGAAGGAGCACATGTACAGTGGAAGGAGCATATGTACAGTAGAAGATTACAGTGGAAGGAGCACATGTACAGTGGAAGAAGCACATGTACAGTGGAAGGAGCACATGTACAGTAGAAGAAGCACATGTACAGTGGAAGGAGCATATGTACAGTAGAAGAGTACAGTGGAAGGAGCACATGTACAGTGGAAGGAGCACATGTATTGAGGAAGGAGCACATGTACAGTGGAAGAAGCACATGTACAGTGGAAGGAGCACATGTACAGTGGAAGGAGCATATGTACAGTAGAAGATTACAGTGGAAGGAGCACATGTACAGTGGAAGAAGCACATGTACAGTGGAAGGAGCACATGTACAGTAGAAGAAGCACATGTACAGTGGAAGAACCACATGTACAGTGGAAGAAGCACATGTATTGAGGAAGGAGCATATGTACAGTAGAAGAAGCACATGTATTGAGGAAGAAGCACATGCACTTAGGAAGGAGCACATGTAGAGTGGAAGAAGCACATGTACAGTGGAAGGAGCACATGTATTGAGGAAGGAGCACATGTTCAGCGGAAGAAGCACATGTCCAGTGGAAGAAGCACATGTACAGTGGAAGAAGCACATGTACAGTGGAATAAGCACATGTACAGTGGATGAAGCACATGTACAGTGGAAAAAGCACATGTATTAAGGAAGGAGCACATGTACAGTGGAAGAAGCACATGTACAGTGGAAGGAGCACATGTACAGTGGAAGGAGCACATGTACAGTGGAAGAAGCACATGTACAGTGGAAGAAGCACATGTACAGAGGAAGAAGCACATGTATTGAGGAAGGAGCACATGTACAGTGGAAGAAGCACATGTACAGAGGAAGAAGCACATGTATTGAGGAAGGAGCACATGTGTAGTGGAACAAGCACATGTACAGTGGAAGAAGCACATGTATTGAGGAAGGAGCACATGTACAGTGGAAGAAGCACATGTACAGTGGAAGAAGCACATGTACAGTGGAAGAAGTACATGTACAGTGGAAGGAGCACGTGTACAGTGGAAGGAGCACATGTACAGTGGAAGGAGCACGTGTACTGTGGAAGAAGCATGTGTACAGTGGAAGATCACATGTACAGTGGAAGGAGCACATGTACAGTGGAAGAAGCACATGTACAGTGGAAGGAGCATATATGTATTGAAGAAGAAGCATATGTACAGTGGAAGAAGCACATATACAGTGGAAGAAGCACATGTATTGAAGCATATACATTTTTGGTTTGGTTTTGTTTGTTGTTTAATGCCGAAATGTTCTAGCCATGTGACTGCACTCTGTAACTTGTTGTGTCAAGTTGAGATAGTACCATACAGTCCAGTGATTGATATTATGAGCATCGATCAAAGCAATTGGGATATGATGACAAGCATCAACCAAGTCACAAAGTCTGACCTTGGCTTTTACAACAAACATAAGTCACTGGACTGGGGACCGGTATGCTTATCCGCAATCCCCACGGGTCCGTATGTATAGAGCAAGTAGTACATATGTATAGAGCAAGTAGTACATATGTATAGAGCAAGTAGTACATATGTATACAGAAATGCATAGAGCAAGAGCATATGAAGAGAGAAAGAATATGATGCACATTTATAGCAAGAAGCACGGTACTAAGGGCTTGTACACATACATCTATGGGCTCAGCCTGGAGTTGTGACCTTTAGAAACATCCAAAGGCTACAGAACTCCTTCAAATAAACATCAGTGATATAACATATATTTTTTCAAGACCTCATTAGATTAAGTGAAACCATAAAGAAAGCGGTGTTGTATATGAGATATTTTTGCTGGGCTTGAAAATGTGGTGTTATGAGTAACCACTAAATATTTTGTATAGAATGTTAGCAAAACTAGACATGGCCACTTATTGAAAGATGGTGCTGGAATCTGATACTGGCTGACTTCCTAGTTTTATTGAATCAATTTTGCTGATACTGTGTCATATTTTTCAATCAAAAGTAAACATGGTCAAAATCCTGCTTCAATTTAGCAATTACTTCTCATTGGATATCTTGTAGGACAAAGGTCCATTCCACAAAGCGATTTTAGCACTAACATAACTCCCATGCTTACAATAGACTTTAAATCATCATAGCGCGGTGAAATGGGTCCCTGGGTCCACATGCACAAAGTGATCTTAGCACTAAGATAATCGTAACTTCCATGTTTTAACATTGACTTACGATCATCATTATAAGCACTGTGGTCTCTGGGTCCACATGCACAAAGTGATCTTAGTACAATGACATTTTAATAGTCTGACCATTTGAATCCTTGGGACTGAGATTTTTGGTAGGGCTAAAAAACTTCTTTTTTTTCAAAAATAAGTGATAGTGACCATGGTGACATGTTCATTTGAACTTGAGAAAATTCAAAATAGTTACACTTGTAATAACTCAAATCAGCAGCAAATTTAAATGTTGACTTATTTCTTTGTTTACAGTTAGTGCCCAGTGTTTCATTAGTATATATCACATGCAGTAGAAACTACCAATGACCACTAATGACAGCCTTGATGTATAATTTTGGGAGCAACTTGTCGGCTCAGTGTAGTGTCCAATGACAACCTTCAATATCATACTTCAAAAACATGATAATACTGATAAAAAATTGTCATACTACTTACATCCCACAGTATTTTAAAGTCCTTTTGCTCGACACGAATGAGTTCTGTGTAGTCCCGTGTAACTACTGTTGCATGATGTGGTTTGTTGGTGAGGATTGCTTCGCCAAACGATGTTCCTGCTCCCAGAATACACAGTGTCACAGCATCCTGAAATGGAGATGTTTGTGATCGTGAGTATGGTTTTATGTCACTTTTAGCAATACCACGGTGGGGGACACCAGATATTGGCTTCACACATTGTACCCTTGGGGAGAATCGAACCCGGATCTTCATCATGACAAGCGAATGCTTTAACCACTAGGCTACCCCATCGACCCTAATTAAAAACAAATATTGACATTGTCTTAGAAATTGATATGTAGCAGGGTGTTGATTCATCCCACAGATGGCACAATTGGTCTTCAGTACCCCTCCTTTCGTCACCCTGTGGGTATTCCATGGCAAAATAGGTTCGTATTACACCAAGTTGCTTGTCACTGCTTGCTTGGACAAACTCATGGCTACATAAGGTGACCATTTAACCACCAAGCATCATGATCCATAAGTATTTTAGAAGAATATTTTATATTTTTTCTTGTTCTTCATCAAAGATGGCTAACTGCTGGCCATATTGAAAGTCAAAATAGTAAAATGTTTATAGACAATGACAAATGACAGACAACTTGGACGACACAACAAATGACACTGAATTAGTTCATTGAAGTATGAATTTCCACTCCAGCCAAACATCAAACCATGCCAAATCTGTACAGGCCGCCTATGAAGTGACTGAATGCTGTTCGAGGCCACAGTTAGCAATATGACAGCTACAGAACAACAGCCCATAAATAAACAAGTCTGAGCAAGACGAAACAAAGCTTGTGGTCTGATCCAGGTAGATCCAAGTCATACAGGTATGACAACACACAACTAGCCAGTTCACATATTCTAACTACCCAATCCTCTGCCACAGGATCCCCACAGGAAGACAAACATGGAGTACAAGGCACCTATTGTTCCCAGGAATTCCCACAGGAAGACAAGCATGGAGTACCGGGGATTTATTGTTCCCAGAAATTCCCACAGGAAGACGAGCATGGAGTACTGGGGATTTATTGTTCCCAGGAATTCCCACAGGAAGACGAGCATGGAGTACTGGGGACTTATTGTTCCCAGGAATTCCCACAGGAAGACGAGCATGGAGTACAAGGCACCTATTGTTCACAGAAATTCCCACAGGAAGACGAGCATGGAGTACAAGGCACCTATTGTTCACAGAAATTCCCACAGGAAGACGAGCATGGAGTACAAGGCACCTATTGTTCACAGAAATTCCCACAGGAAGACGAGCATGGAGTACAAGGCACCTATTGTTCACAGAAATTCCCATAGGAAGACGAGCATGGAGTACAAGGCACCTATTGTTCCCAGGAATTCCCACAGGAAGACGAGCATGGAGTACAAGGCACCTATTGTTCACAGAAATTCCCACAGGAAGACGAGCATGGAGTACAAGGCACCTATTGTTCACAGAAATTCCCACAGGAAGACAAGCATGGAGTACTGGGGACTTATTGTTCCCAGGAATTCCCACAGGAAGACAAGCATTGAGTACTGGGGACTTATTGTTCACAGAAATTCCCACAGGAAGATGAGCATGGAGAACTGTGGACTTATTGTTCACAGAAATTCCCACAGGGGTGCATACATGGAGTACTGGGGACCTTTTTCGCCCTTTAATCCAAATCAGGAGACAAGCATGAGGTACTGTGGACCTATTCTGCGATCTATCCCCACAGGGGGACAAGTGTGGAGTACTGGGGACTTATTGTTCACAGAAATTCCCACAGGAAGACGAGCATGGAGTACTGGGGACTTATTGTTCCCAGGAATTCCCACAGGAAGACGAGCATGGAGTACTGGGGACTTATTGTTCCCAGGAATTCCCACAGGAAGATGAGCATGGAGAACTGTGGACTTATTGTTCACAGAAATTCCCACAGGGGTGCATACATGGAGTACTGGGGACCTTTTTCACACTTTAATCCAAATCAGGAGACAAGCATGAGGTACTGTGGACCTATTCTGTGATCTATCCCCACAGGGGGACAAGTGTGGAGTACTGGGGACCTATTGTTCACAAGAATTCCCACAGGGAGACAAGCATGCGGTACTGGAGGTCTATTGTGACCCTGATTCCCCACAGGGAGACAAGTGTAAGGTACTGGGGCCTTATTATGGCCCTGGGATCCCCACAGGAAGAAATGCATGACTAGAGTACTTGGGACCTATTCTGCCCGGAATCACCACAGTGAGACAAGCTTGGAGTATCGGGGACCTATTGTTTGCTGAAATTCCCACAAGAAGACAAGTATGACCAGGGTACATGGGACCTATTCTTCCCCGGAATCACGACTGGGAGACAAGCATGGGGTAAATAGAGAACAACTCTCTTGAGAACAAGTATTGGGTACTGGGACCTATTCTGCCCGGAATCCCCCAAGAGATTACTCAATGAAGGTTCATATACTCAATGAACTCAAATGAAAGTCAATTCTTAATTAAAACCAATACACATTGCTCTGGCACCGGTTACCGCACATTCATCAAGAACATCAATATTGAGTTTGGACTGTCACAGGATGGTTAAGTCCTACCTTCTGATTGCCAGACTCCGATACTGTGACCTCCAGGGAGCCGGACAGAACGGTGTACCAGTTGGTGCCGACATCGCCCTGACGGAACACTGCACAACACAGCAGCAACACCATCAGCAAGGTGGCACCGAACATATCAGCAGTCTCACCACTCAATAACATCATAGCAGGAAAAGTAGCATGTAAATTACAAATGTTCTCATGAGGCCCATTAAGGAGAGTCTTTGTTTGTCATGATTTTGCATCTCATAATTGTACATATTATTTCAAAATGCCTACAGACAATTATTGAGAAATACCTTGATCTATATGTGTTAGTTTCAGTGGCTGTCAAATCAGGAGTTTTAATTAGAAGAGGTTATTATGATTTGAAACCTCTGATTGACTTATTTTTAAAATTGATGGTAGAATCCCGAACAACCCACATGTGACACCCTTCTCCAGGTCCTCGTAGTAACCATAGTAACAGATCTGTTGCAACAGCAGAGGATGGAACTTCTCCAGGGCCTTGATGTCTTTAAGGCGGGAGTAGATGATGTCGAGGTCCTCCCCACTCCGATCTGCCGGCCTGCAACAGACAGATCAGGATAGACAATGTATTGAACACTCACCATGACAGATACTGTATTTAACACACACCATGACAGATACTGTATTGAACACACACCATGACAGATACTGTATTGAAAAAACAGTAATGACAGATACTGTATTGAAAACACACCAGGATAGATACTGTATTGAAAAAACACCATGACAGATACTGTATTGAACACACATCAGGATAGACAATGTATTGAACACATACCATGACAGATACTGTATTGAACACACACCAGGATAGATACTGTATTGAACACACACCAGTATAGACAATATATTGAACATACACCAAGATATACAATGTATTAAACACATACCAGGATAGACAATGTATTGAACACACACCAGGATAGACAATGTATTGAACACACACCAGTATATATAATGTATTTAACACACACCAGGATAGACAATGTATTGAACACACACTAGTATATATAATGTATTTAACACACACCAGGATAGACAATGTATTATTGAACACACACCAGCATAGATAATGTATTGAAATCACACACAATTTGCCAAATAACTGCTTGAGATCCCCCAGTTGGCATTATGACATGCATTCTCTTCTCTGTCCACTATGATTTGTTTTAAGTGACCGTCATGGTAAATCGATGTTGCTATTAATGATGGCGACTTTGACTGTTCTGCCTGATCAGATCATACAAGATTTTGACAAAATTAATGTAAACAAAGCTGTTGAAATATTGAATAAAATTAAGAAAATGGATTAAAACTTAAAATGAGAAATAAACTGAACCCTTTTTGTTACAAAATAGTGAAATAACGGGATTAACTCATATACTTCTTTCTTGACATGCAATTTCAGATGCTCTGTGCTGGGGGTAATGTTTTCGCTTCAGATAAAAATATCAAAACACATTGTTTGTGTCTCTATGCACCCCCAACTTCACACGTCCATAACTGATTTTTACATAAAGTGCATGTTCCACAATTAACACTGCAATAAAAATACATCAATGTAGATCATTAAATGAAACTTAACATTTATACCTCAGACCTCGCATTCTGGACTAACGAAGTATTTGCATTACTCCAATCAAAGTTGCATAACGAAATTGACATCTGGTTCGTAAACAACATGGATTTCAACGTGCAGATTTCAGCCGATTTCAGGATTTGTCAACTGGGCTTCGACAGACTTTTTCCAAATCGTTTCACGTTTTTAATCAAGATGCTCACATGATTTGACGTACTTTGCGAGGTAATTGTTTTATTACAATATAGATCTTGATCATCGATCACATCATCTTGACTGGAAACCACTCTTTTGTTTGAAGCAAATGCAATCGATATGAGAAGTGGAATCTGGTCTATAGGAGGGGCATAGAAGGGACATAAGTCGTAATCGCCACTTTTGGTTCTACGATTGAGCCCAGAAACACACCAGTGACCATGTCATATGATTTTCAGCCAGCATAAGGTGTAGCATTATAGTTCTAAGAACATTTTTACAAATATTCAGTTGATTTTTCTTCCATCATTCCTGTTGATGCAATTGTTAAGGGTACAAATTCACTAGAGAGAATCATCCTGACACGAGAGAAAATCATCCCCGGGATAAAAAATAGGGTAGAATAATATTCACTCTTACACATGCACATCGCAATAATCTTGATCAAAATGTTAAAGCCCATTTCACCTCACCTCACCTCACCTCACATACTGACTACCTTAATTCAAGTAAGCTGAGAACTTTGTGATGGTGTGATGGGCCTCTGATGACCACATTCTGTTCCATAGTTTCTCATCCACATAGGCCAGCATCAAGTCAAGAAAGACACTTGAGATGAACTGGGTATGAAGTTGTCACTTTCACTTGCCCCCTCAGTACCAGATACACATATCATTTCAGGCAGGACCAACTTAATGTTGTAAATGTACCTTGTGCCTCCGATATCCACATGATTAATAAGTCTTACAAAAGCTAGAATATTACTATCAAATAGTAATGTTTTTAAGTCATTCTTATTTGTATATTTACTTTCTCCTGTGATGGCACATATCTCGTGTGGGGCCTTGAGATCTTGATGAAATAGACCCTAGAATATGTGCAACATGGCATGTCTACAATCCTGATAAATAATTTGTCAGACAATTTACAAAAGTTACAGCAACAATGATCAATGTTGTTTGTGTAAGCAGTGTCTTACAAAACACTTTCTTATCTGATGAGATTCATGCAAAATTCATCTGTGAAGTGGCACCTCTGTTGAAGTGAGCAAATCCGTCACCAACTGCTCGGCTGTTTGATTATGGGCCAGCAGAGTACAAGCTTACACGTTCCTTCTTTACTGATAATGGTCATTGGGATCCAGGAACTGCAGTCACAAGTCTTTTCTTGGAGTAAGGAACCGACCTTTGGATATTCTTGAGGGGAGCTGGGATTTAAACCCCCCCCCCCCCCTTAAAATACTTGAAAAAAATAACAGCCTCAGTTTTCACCAAAAAAATAGATACAAAAATTGTTCGCAGGACAAGATTTCCCCATAAAAAGTGTTGTACCAAGACACTAGGATATCGGACACGGAGCTACTTGATATCAGTATATCACACTCCAGTATATCACAAACCAGCCTATTACACACCAAATCTTTCTGCCCTGATGACCCTAATGTCTCCTACAGTGTGATACACTCATCCTTCTGCCACAATAACCCTGAAGTCTCCTACAGTGTGATACACTCATCCTTCTGCCACAATAACCCTGAAGTCTCCTACAGTGTGATACACTCATCCTTCTGCCACAATAACCCTGAAGTCTCCTACAGTGTGATACACTCATCCTTCTACCATGATAACCCTGAAGTCTCCTACAGTGTGATACACTCATCCTTCTACCACAATAACCCTGAAGTCTCCTACAGTGAGATACACTCATCCTTCTACCATGATAACCCTGAAGTCTCCTACAGTGTGATACACTCATCCTTCTACCATGATAACCCTGAAGTCTCCTACAGTGTGATACACTCATCCTTCTGCCACCACAATAACCCTGAAGTCTCCTACAGTGTGATACACTCATCCTGCTGCCAGAATATCCCTGAAGTCTCCTACTGTGTGATACACTCATCCTTATGCCACAATAACCCTGAAGTCTCCTACAGTGTGATACACTCATCCTTCTGCCATAATACCCCTGAAGTCTCCTACAGTGTGATACACTCATCCTGCTGCCCTAGTTACCAGTGTCACAGCTCCAGCCAGCTCGCCCCTGTAATGGCAGACTGGACATCAAGTGGGATTAGGCTCACATAGTTGGATGACAAATGACTGTCACCATTAAACCTGATAAGCTCAGTAATGAGATATATCCTAGTATGAGCGAAAATACTAAATCATACAGGATTAGTCTAAATATGTTTACAGATCTGTGATAAGGACACAGTAGCCATCACAACTTTCTTATGATGATTAATAGTAGGCATCAATATAAGATGCCCTTGTAGCAATCTGGATCTGTAGGCAGGAAAACTGAGGATGAGGCCTGTCATTAGGGACCGACCATTTAATGTACATCAGGCTTGGGGGAGGGGACTTTAGTTTGAGACATTAAGACATTGAGATATTGTTTCAGTCAGCAATTATGTGAGTGTAAATATGTTTCCCTGTACATTTGTTCTGGGGGACTTGATGTACTAGGAGTTTTGTTTCTGTGGAACAATAAATCCAGGGGAAAAAAATCTGTGCTTAGGAAAATTGTTATATATGTATGCTTTGCCCCTCAATCCTTTAAATCATAAATATTTTTAAGGTGGGATACGGGCAGAAGTCTTACCCCTAGGACTAATTCATCGCTCACACTTCAAGACATGCAAGTATTTTCTCTTGCAAAGGGGAAAACATTTTTTTTGAGGACCCACCAAACTATATTTTTCAGAAAATCCAGCTAGTCCAGTGAACAAGTTATTTTTTTCTTGAAGGGACAATAGCAAAATGTCAACATTTTCAGGAACAAATTTAAAAAACAAAACATCCCAGATCCCACCTCCCCTACCCCCCAAAATCAAATGGCCTTCCCCTTATGTCACGCAGTTCTTGATGTACTGACTATTTTTTCTGCTATGGTTTTGTTTGCTGTTTAATGCCGCACTCAGTAGCAGCATTCCAGCCATATGACGGCGGTCTGTTAAAAAATCAAGTCTGGACCAATTAATCCAGTCATTGACATCATGAGCATGAATCTGCACAATTGGGATACGATGACTGGCATCAACTAATTCAGCGACCCTGACCCCTGATCCCGTCAGTCGCCTCTTTCAACATGCATGGGTTGCTGTAGACCAGTTGTAAACAGTTGGTTGACGTTGGCATAGCCATCTATCCAATTCATCCCACAGGTGCTCTATCGGGTTCAAATCTGGGGATCTGGAGGGCCAGGGGAGAACATCAACGTTGTTGTTGTGTAGACAGGCTCTTGTGATCCGCGCTGTATGTGGTCGGGCGTTGTCCTGCTGGAATACACCGCTGCCATCCACATCATAACGCTACCCCGACCAAACCTGTCCACTTCCTGTACGCAGTTTCTGGCATAATGTTCTCCCCGACGTCTGTAGACCCATGCTCTTCCATACCCTCGACGGAGGAGAAATCTTGATTCGTCGCTGAACCAGACATCTCTCCATCGCAGTTGAGGCCATACCCTGATGGGGATGCCCCTGCCTGCAAGCGGCCTATGACGCTGTTTCTCTTGTTAATCTTGGCATGTTGTTGAACTGTCACTTTTCGATTGATGCAGATGCCAGGCCATCAAAAACCCTGGTCTTTAATACCGTTCATAGTACTGCTGCACGTGCAGTGCGTGCAGCTCCATGGCCTTTTTGTTAATGCACTGGGTGCATTTTTCCAAATCGTACTTGTTTCCCCACTGATGGTTTGCATGTCCTTTTTGTGATCATTTTGATCCGGGAAATTTGTCACTGACACTACAACACA